TCCTCCTGCCTCAGCCTCACAAGTGCTGGGATTACAGGCGTGTGCTGCCATGCCTGGGTACTGTGGCATTTTGTATGGCATCTCTGTAGACTTACATATTTGGTATGTGTCTTTTTGCATCTATTTCTGGTACTCTTCTGAGGCGTTTTCACATTTCCTCTTTTAGTTTTTTTTTTTTTTTTACTACAGTAAAAAAAAAACACAAAATTTACCATCTCAGCCATTCCTAGGTGTACGGTTCAGCAGGGTTAGTACATCTACATTGTCGTGCAAGCGCTCTCCAAGTCCTTTTCATCGTGCAAAACCGAAACGCCTGTCATTCAGCCACACAGCCCTCCCAGGGGCAGCTGCTGACCACCCCAAAGCCACTGCGAGCAGCGCCTGTGCGATCCAGCCACGGGCGGGCGGCCAGCGGGGGCCCAAGCCCGGGCCAAGGTGCTCCGGCCCACGGGAGGGCGGGGGGGGGGGGTCTCACAGTACGGAACCGCCAACATCGCTCCTCTCCCAGGACGGCCCGGGAAGTCAGGCCGGGCCCTTCGCTGCGAGGGGTTGTGGTCACTGGCGGGGACCAGGATTGCCACAGGTGAAGCATCTTTTTGCAGGTGTCACGTTGTGGACACGATGTGGCCAGGTGTCAGGGTGTACCCAGGTGCTGAGGATCATGGATGAGGTTTGGGAGCATTGCCTAAGCATGACTTCCTCTCCCCAGCCAGCTGTAGACGTGACCACAGACGCCACGGACGCACACGGGCGTGGGTACAGCGTCCAGCATGGCCGGGTGGCGGCAGGCTCCACCCGCGGAGTCACCATGGGAAAGGCCATGTGAAGGGGACCGCCTGAAGCGCGGGAGTGGTCGGGGGACACGATGACTTCAGGTCCAGGAAATGAAACCTAAACTGCTGCCTGGCTGGATACCATCCCGCCAACCCTGGCCAAACCCCACCCCTTCCTTGAGTGTTCAGTCGCCCGCCCCCCAAAAAAACAAACTGAAACTCTATTCCCAGAACAACCGCCTCTTCCCACAACCCCAGCCCTTGGCGACTAACATTCTCTTGAGGTTTCATTTTTGTTGGTTTTTTGGTACAAGGACTCGAACTCAGGACCTTGCGCTTGCCCGGCAGGCGCTGTGCCGTGAGCTATCTCTCCGACCCTTGGCAACTAACATTCTACTCCTGTTACAATGAAGCTAAGTCCTCCAAACACCCTCACCCAAGTGGAATCACAGGATTTGTCTTTTTGTGACTGGTTTACTTCACCTATGTTATCCTCATGGTTCATCCATGCTGTAGCATGTGTCAGAATTCCCTTCTTTTTCAAGATTAAATAATACTCCACTGGCCCAAGTCAGGCATGGTGGCACACGCGTGTAATCCCAGCACTCAGGAGGCTGAGGCAGGAGGATCATTGTGAGTTTGAGACCAGCCTGGGCTACAAAGTGAGCTCAAGGCCAGCCTGAACTGCATAGTGAGACCCTGTCTCAAAACAGATAAAAAAAAAAGAAGAAGAAGAACTGCTTAGGGGCTCCTGAGCAATGATCCCAGCCTTGAGGCCTTAGGCTTTCTCCTCTTTTTTTTTTTTTTTTTTTTTGGTCTTTTTGAGACAGGGTCTCGCTATGCAGTTCAGGCTGGCCTTGAGCTCACTTTGTAGCCCAATGTATCGAACTCAGAGTGATCCTCCTGCCTCAGCCTCCCAAGTGCTGAGATTACAGGCATGCGCCACCACGCCTGGAGCAGTTTTTGCAATATTTTCTTGACATTTTTGTTTCTTCTTTTGCTCCTTCTCCTTCGCTTCAGTCGTCTTGGCCAATTTCCAGGACAAGAGGGCACTTGCTAGGAACAGTGGAATAAGAGCCAAAATAACTGTTGTAAGGAAACCAGGCGGGTCCTCTGCAGCCCATTCCACAACAGACGCCACGCAAGCCTTTGCATCGACCATCTCTGCAGCGGTCTTAGGAAAATTTATGCTTGAGCCCTGATCTCTGACTTTGTCCTGGGCGGTCAGTCAACTTCAGAGGGCTGTCCGTCGTCCTCTAGTTTTAAGGCGCACTCCTGAGAAGTTTAAATTTGTTCTTTCCTTCCCCAGACGGCGCTGCCAGGGCAGAAGCCACACCACCCCTACCCCTGGGTCCCGGGAGGCTCAGCCCTGGCTGCCGCGGGTGGGCCGGGACTCGCAGAATAAAAGCCCCTGAGGAGCCCAGCAGCCCGCCCAGCTGCCCTCTGCAGGCCCGCAGCCCCGCCACCGCACCCTGTGGGCTCCCTGAGTGCTGGGATTATAGGCGTGTGCCACCACACCTGGCTCGCTCTTTCGCTTATTTCATTAATTAATTTGGTTTCTCATATAAGAGAAATCACATGATATTTAACTTTCCGAGTTGAGTAAAGTTAATTTTACCTAATAGGATACTTCCTGGTCCCATCACACTCCAGTGTTTCGCAGGCCATTTGCCCTTCTTTCTTTTTTTTTTTTTTTGTTTTTTTTCCGGTACCGGGAATCGAACTCATGACCTTGCACTTGCCAGGCAGGTGCTGTGCCACTGAGCTAAATCCCCAGCCCCTGCCCGTCTTTCTTTTTTTTTTTGTTTGTTTTGTTTTGTTTTTGGTTTTTCTCCGGTACCGGGAACCGAACTTACGACCTTGCGCTTGCCAGGCTGGCGCTTTTGCCACTGAGCTAAATCCCCAGCCCCTCTGCCCGTCTTTCTTTCAGCCATTGAATATTATGCATTTAACATGCAGTAGGTGCATAGGCATTTCAGTCACTCCTCATTCATGTCCCTTATACTCCTTTTTTTTTTTTTTTTTTTTTTGTACCAGGAGTCAAACTCAGGACCTTGCACTTGCCAGGCAGGCACTTGTGCCCCTGAGTTATATCCCTGGCACTCTTATACTTTCTAAATCCCCAGCTAGATGCTATACCTTATTAATCTTTTTTTTTTTTTTTTTTTTTTTTTTTTTTTCCAGTCCTGGAAATCGAACTCACAACCTTGCACTTGCCAGGCAGGCGCTGTGCCGCTGAGCTAAATCCCCAGCCCCTAATCTAATTTTTAAACTGAAAAGTAAAACAAGAGAATCATAAACATCTTATCTCTTCTGATCCTTCATCTCCTTGGCCCCTATCATGAGCTGAGCTTACACTAGGAACATGGCAGAGACGCATAGGAAAGGTCAGATAACAAAGTTTTAGGCATGGGGCTGGGGATTTAGCTCAGCGGCACAGCACCTGCCTGGCAAGTGCAAGGCCGTGAGTTCGGTTCCCAGTACCAGAAAAAAAACAAAAAAAAAAACCCCGAAGTTTTAGGCATGGAGGTGAGCATGTGACAAGGGGACAAGGTCTGAGCAGGCAGCAAAAATGGGCAAATATTTGCAGAGGTCACATCCCCTGCTGATCACAGGGAAGGCAAATATCTCCTCCGTGGGACAGAGAACTGGGCAGAGCAGGACCCGGGAGCAAGCAGAGCTACAGAGCAGCCTCACTTCTTGGTGACCGGACTGTGCGGTAAACGGGGGTCCCTGTATGTAGGTGCAGATGAAACAGGAAGTCCTTGTGAGCTGAAAATGGGGAGAGACCAGCGGGGAGCAGTTGTGTTGTGTTTCCCATTTCCCAGGCTCTGAGCTAAAAAAGCACAGAAGCTTGGACGTAGGTGATGGATGAGATGCCCCCAGTGGAGTCTTTGCTGCTTGCAGACCCCAGCCCTTAGAGAAAAGCCTTCTAAATGCCGGGTTTCTCCCCTTTCCAGGGTGCTCCGCGCCGGACATGGGTAGCCTCAGACTCATAATAGCAGTTGGGCTGCTTCTTTGCTATCTCCTGCTGTGCCCTGTGGATGCCACTGCATTCAGAGACCAGACAGATGTCTCAACACCCCTCGTCTCAGCCTTGGGACCCCAAGCACCCTCCGTGTACCCCTTTTCCTGCCGGACCCTGCTCCCGAAGTTGCTCCCTGGCTTTGCCCACATGACCCTTCTTCCCAAGTACCTGGTAGGCCTGGCTCTAAGGAATGCCCTGGAGGAAGCTGGCTGCCAGGCTCAAGTCCAGGCCCTGGATCTTCAGCTGTACCGCTGGGGTGGTCTGAACGCTACCCAGGTCCTCATCCGCCACCTTCAAGAGCTCCAGAAAGGTGGAAGCACAGACAGCAGGGTGTCAGTAGAAGCCCTGGGCTCCGCTCTGCAGGTCTTAGCCAGCAAGTCCCCGAGGAGGGCTCGGCGCTCCCCCACCACCAGCGACTGTGAGAACGAGCAGGAGGAGAGCATCTACAGTGTCATCAAGCTGTTGCCAGGAGTGGGAACCTATTACAACATAGGCACAGCTCTGTATTACGCGATCCAGAATTGTTCAGACAAGGCCAAGGAACGAGGCAAAAATGGTGCCATAGATCTGGGTTATGACCTTCTGACAGCTATGGCAGGAATGTCAGGGGGGCCCATGGGTCTAGCGATCAGTGCTTCAATTAGACCAGCACTGAAGGCCGGGGTAGAGCGGTTGATCCAGTATTACTATAAAGCGAAAGCGGCAAGCACCCCTCAGCCAGAGACCAGCCTAGCAGGCTTGTGGACCACCGCCTACGTGAGTGACTTGGAAGCAACGGTGACCACAGCGATTCCCAGATCCCAAGTAGTAAATCCAGCTGCCTACTGGGGGTGGGCATTCTTCACCAGGGCCGGGCATGCCGCGCTGTGAGAGGTGGTGACCGCAGACCCGATAAATCGGACATTCCGGCATGCTGCACTTTATGGTGTGTGCTCACGATCTAAATTTCTGAGTGTGTGTGTGCCGGGGGTGGGGTGGAATACAAATCTCCGATTTGTTATCCATGAAGAAAGCACTGCTGTAAAATGTTGGAATCTCGAAGTTTGGGGTATGGAGTGGGAAGATTGGGTTTGGAATCCCTCTCCACTCGTAGAGCCGCCGTCATTCCTGGTGAGTGATTTCTTCCTGAGAGCTCAATTTCTAAATTTCTTAAGTGGAGATAATGATTTTCCACCTGAACGGGTTGTCGTGGCGATTTAATCCGCTAGTATGAACCTAGTGCTACACCGTAACCTCAGTAAATCATCACTACTAAAGCCAGGGGTCGTGTCACTCATCTTCAATCCCAGCTCTCGGGAGGCTGAGACAGGAGGAACTACGCAAGTTCCACGCTAACCTGGGCTATATAGTCAATTCAAGGCCAGCCTCAAGTACGTGGCAAGACCCTGTCTCAAAAAAAGAAGAATCAAGATACATTATGCACAACTGCAAATTCCATATGATGAATGTGATCATTATGTGTATCTAAAAGTGTACCAGTCTGTAACTCACTATTATTTGTCTGTTTTCCTGAGAAACTATCTTGTAGATAACGATATGTAAAACAATAACCATTGATAATTTCCTACCACTTTGTCTGTAATTTGGTAAGCCCTCCTTTTTTTTTTTTTTTCTTTTTTTTCTTTTTTAAAAAATAAAAGTGTACCAATAAAATTAATTTAAAAAGAAATCATTTCTGTTTTTTATTACGTCAGCCTTCCTTGCCCATCCCAAAGTATCAGAGTCCTGGTCCCGCCTTTTCCTATCAAGTCAAGCCCTAGGCCTCTCCGAGCTCGCCAAGTTAGTTTCGCTTCCTCGGCCGCTGGGCCGCGGGTTCTCGAAAGTCAGCTGTTTGCTTGCTGGGCTGTTCCGGGTGCTGGAAACCCCGCCTACCGGCCCGGGGAGGGATAAGCTTCTCCACCAATCACCGGAGCTGGAAGTGAGGCTAGGGCGGGATTTACCCCGCCCATCGGGGGCGGAGTCGTGGAGGAGCCAATAACCTCACTGCTTGGGGAAGGGCTTGGCTGAGCGGCAGCCGGGGTCGGTCTTGCGGGTTGAGAAGAGCGAGCGTTGGGCATCAGCTGGTTCATGAGCCCGCTACGCTGCTCTTGAGGGGGTGATCGAAGTGGTGGGCGAGGCGGGGAGCCTGGCACCTCAGCTGTCTGAGTACGGAAGTCGCGGCCGGAGGTACTAGAGGGAGCGGGTGCTGCGACGCTGACGAGGTACAGGCCCCCGAGCGTGCACCGGGCGCGGCGGGCACGAGATCTCCCCTGCCGAGGGCCGGGGCCCGGGGGCCCGGGGGCAGCATGTTCTGTCCTCCAGTTGAAATAGGAGCTATCACCTGCTCCGTTCTGGATTTTGCCCTCTTTTTTAAGACCTTTTTTGGGGGGGTGGGGGGGCCGGGAATCGAACTCGGGACCTTACACTTGCCAGGCATGCTTTGTGCCATCTTGCTCTCTTATCCAGCCTAGCAAACTCTAGCGCCCCGGCTCCCAGGACTACTTTTCAGCCTCCTATATCTGGCGGGCAGCCTCCGGCGGTGATACTGGGTTTGAGGTTTCTCTAACGCTTTCCCCTTTGCCCAGCATTATTTTCAATACTTTCGGAGAAATGTCCAAACACGTATCGTACTTATTTATATGTAAGAGAGTATATGCGACTGAAAGATGAAACGATCTGCTTAAGGTTACAGAAAAAAAATCTTTTTTTGTGTGTTTTTGAGACAGGGTCTCCCTATGCAGTTCAGGCTGGCCTTAAGATCACTTTGTAGCCCAGGCTGGTCTTGAGCTCACAACGATCCTCCTGCCTCAGCCTCGCGAGTGCTGGGATTACAGGCATGCGCCACCACGCCCTGCGATCAGAAAAAAGTCTTATTGAATGCGTTATATGTGCCCAAGAGAGTGAGAGAGTGAAAAAAATACATGTTAAAACCTTAACCTCAGTGTACAGTATACATATTTGGGGGACACTAGTTTTGTATGTTTTTTTTTTTTTTTTTCTTCGATTTTGAAACCTCAGAGCTTACTTGCTGCTTCGCTCCTTTAATGTCAGCCATCCGGGTCTTCAAAACTTGGGATCTTGGGATGGGACTACAGCTCTATGGTAGAGTGCTTGTAGTATGTCCAACGCCCTAGGTGGGTCCCTGACATCCCCCCTCAAAAAAAGAAAAGAAAAATCAAGCATTATTAAAAGTTAAAATACAAAGTAGAAGGAAGCTCCAGTCCAGTCCCCAGTTTTCTATGGTTTGTAATAAAATCATGCAACCTTTTAAAAACACACATATGCGGGCATGGTGGTGCACGCCTGTAATCCCAGCACTTGGGAGGCTGAGGCAGGAGGCTCTCTGTGAGTTCAAGGCCAGCCTGGGCTACAAAGTGAGCTCAAGGCCAGCCTGAACTGCATAGCGAGACCCTGTCTCAAAAAGGCCAAAAGTAAAAAATAAAAATAAAAACACACATGTTCCTGTTTGTTCTGTTCTGTTAGGCTCAGGCTGCAGCAAGAATAAGTTTTAATTTTCTTAACAGTTGTCAGATGATCAGGAGAAGGTGAGGAGAAAGAGGTATGGCTCAACCTGCCTAGTGACGGGCAAAAGAAAAGGTTCTGTGTGAAATGTCTGTGTCTTCACAAAGTTAGTAATCCACATGCAGAATCAGAGATTGACAGAGGTCACAGAAATGTTACAGTCTAGGGGCTGGGGATATAGCTCAGTGGCATAAGCGCCTGCCTAGCAAGCACAAGGTCCTGAGTTCAATCCCCGGTACCGCAAAAAAAAAGAAAAAAGTTAGTCATAAGGACTGAGTGACTCTCCCATGGTATTTAGACATCTAGACAGGAGCCCCTCCTTCCTACATGGTGGGCAGTTTGTAGATTGTATTTACTTTACCTCCAGGAAGGTTTTAGCCCTTAGAAAAGCTTCCAGCAGGGATCATAAATATTTAAGACGACACTCATCTTTGCTCCAGCATAAACACAAATTTAAAATGAATCAGGAGAAATAGATGAAATAAGGTAGTGGAAATATTATTTGTTTAAGTTAGATGATGGGTCCCTGGATGACCCTTGTACTGTTCTTTCTACTTCTGTGTTTGAAAATTACCATTAAAAGCCAGGTATGGTGACACACACCTGTGATCCCAGCACTCTGGGAGGCTGAGGCAGGAGGATGGCAAGTTCAAGCCCCGCCTGGGTAACTTAGTGACTTAGAGGAACCTTATCTTAAAAATGAAATTTTTAAAAAAGGGATGGAAGTGTAGTTCAATGCAAAGGCCCTGAGTTTAATACCCAGTGCCACTAACTAAATGAATAGAAAATTACTGGTAAAACAAAAAGGGTCGTGTGTTGGAGCTATTAAATAGTACTCCCTGGAAGACTGTGTACCAAACACTAACAGTGGTCTTTTTCTGGGGAGGAAGAGATAGAACCAAGATTGGGAGTTGAGTCAATGTAGACTTTAATGTTTTCTGTATTTTTTACTTGTCTGTGATTTAGTCCAACAAAATATCCTATTGAGAACCTACATCCTTTCAACTCAGAACCCAAATGGCTCAATGGGAGAGGCTGCAGAACCTGGATGGCCCATTTCAGGCCCAACTGGACGAGCTCTACCTGAAATACAGCCTCCTGCCAGTGGACATCCGACAGCACTTGGCTGTCTGGATTGAAGACCAGAACTGGTGAGCGCTTCAGGAGTTGGGAGGATGAGGAGGGTGGCTCTTTTCTTCTGAGGTCTCAGGATCTGGGAGGGATCTTTGTCGTTTTGAGACAGGGTCTCGCTATGCAGTTCAGGCTGGCCTTGAGCTCACTTTGTAGCCCAAGCTGGTCTCAAACTCGCAACAACCCTCCTGCCTCAGCCTCCCAAGTGCTTGTGCTACCACGCCTGACTTCCTGGAGGGACCTTAAAAGGGGCTAGAAGGCCTTAAGGACAGCAGCTCGCTCACAGAGACACTAATCCTTGTCACTTCTGGTCCGCAGGCAGGAAGCTGCACTAGGCAATGATACTTCCAAGGCCAACATGCTATTCTTCCAGTTTGTGGACCAGCTGAACAATGAATGCGGCCGCTGCAGTCAGGACCCCGAGTGCTTATTGCTGCAGCACAACTTGCGAAAATTCTGCCGGGACATTCAGGTACTCGAGGAATTGTGAACGGCGGCGAGGACTGGCAGCCAAGTGTGGCGTAAGGTTGCGGGTGTGGGTTGTTGGAGGTGCAAAGGGAAGGGGGTAGATCTGGGGAAAGAGGGACAGCGGCGTCCAGACTTGGAGGATCACAGGCAGACAGGAGGGCAGAGGCTGGCTGATGCTGTTGGGAAAATGCCTGCTTTGGGGTGAAGAAGGGAAGCAGGGCTAGAGACTCTGAAGGAGGGGAATACTGGGGACACTGGTGGGAGGGTCCAGAGGGGCAGGTTTTTTTTTTTGGTTTTTTTTTTGCGGTACTGGGGATTGAACTCACAACCTTGTGCTTACCAAGCAGGTGCTTATGCCACTGAGCTATATCCCCGGCCCCTAGGGACAGGTTATTGAAAGTAGTTAAATTAGGGGCTGGGGATTTAGCTCAGCAGCACAGTGCCTGCCTGGCAAGCACAAGGTTGTGAGTTCGATTCCTGATACCGGAAACAAAACAAAACAAAAAGAAAGTAGTTAAACTGGACCAATCCTTCCCCTCTTCCTCCTCTAGGCCTTACCCCGGGGCTCCACCCAGCTGGCTGAGATGATCTTCAATCTCCTTCTGGAAGAAAAAGGAATCCTGAACCAGGCTCAGCGGGCTGAGGTGGTGAGCACAACTTGTGGTGCTGTTGGAGGCTGCTGGAGTGGATGGGGACCGTGGAGCAGATTCGGGGAATTTGTCTCAGAGCAGAATTGCCTCGCGTCTGATGCTACAGTGTCAGGCCTGGATTTTGGGGATGAAAGGTCAGAGTTAAGTAGGCTCAGAGCCTCTTATTTCAGGGGCAGGGAAACCCAGCTCCGGAAGTACCTGTGGAGAGCCAGCGCTCTGAGATTGAATCCCGCATCCTGGATTTAAGGGCTATGATGGAGGTGAGTCCCGGGCGAGAGTTGGGGTGGGCAGGGCTCACCCCGCCTCCTCCATCAGAAGCAGCCTTATTGGGGTTCCGCCCCTGCTGCAGATGCTGGTGAAGTCCATCCACCAAGTGAAAGACCTTAACGATGTCTTCAGCTTCCGATATATGATACTCAATAAAGGTAGGACGCGCACAAAGGGGTGGGAGGGAGGACGGGTGTCTGGGGGGAGGCCAAGGCAGAGGAGAACAGAAGGGCAAAGCGCGCCTGGACAGGAGTCACCTTTGGCCGAGTCTCTCTGACTGCATTCCTGCTGCCGGGCGGAGCGCCGCGGGCCAGGCTGCATTTTGGAGGCTGGACCCAGGTGCGGCAGAGGGATGCTAGCAGATGTTGAGGGGTGCGCGTCCAGTCCGTTCACAATCGCCCAAGGGCCCTGGGTGCCTGTGCTGCGTTTGGTTTTTCCTTTTTCTCCCGCCAAAGATTCCCCTTTCTCAGATGGGCATGGTAGCACACACCTGTAATCCCAGCACTTGGGGAGGCTGAGGCAGGAAGATTGCCGCGAGTTCAAGGCCAGCCTGAGCTAATGAATTCAAGCCCACCCTGAACTACACAGCAAGAGACCCTGTCTCAAAACACAATAAAACAAAACAAAACAAAGATTCCCCTTTCTGATTCTGACTCGGGCAGGAGGGAGACGGGAGGAGCCCCTGGTCTGACTCTGACTCTCTCTCACGTTCAGGGAAGACGTCCTCCTCGGACCCGCATCACAGCAAACAGCTGCAGCTTGTGCAGGAAACTCTGAATGAACTGGACAAAAGGAGAAAGGTGGGTGGCAGGGGCCGGAGTGGGCAGAAGGGAAGTGGGGAAGTAGAGGAATCTGGGGGTCCTGGCCCCTGAGCCCTGGCGTCCTTTCCTCCTCTTCCTTAGTGGGGGGGTGAGCGGCGGCGGGACGGGCTCTCAGCACCCACACTGGCTCTCCCCTAGGAGGTGCTGGATGCCACCAGAGCGCTGCTGGGCCGACTGACCACCCTCGTCGAGCTCCTGGTGCCGAAGTTGGATGAGTGGAAAGTCCAGCAGCAGAAAGCCTGCATTGGAGCCCCGCTAAAGCCCGAGCTGGGACAGCTGGAGACGTGGTAAGAGGAAACACACCTTCTCCTGAGCCTCGCACACACGCGGCGCCATCCCGGCCGCACCGTCAGCGGTGTGCGCCGTATACACGGTAATCTTGCTCTCGCTCCTCTGCCCCCTGGGTGGAGCCCAGCCTGCTGGTCTGACCATGGCGGTCCTCTGCTTTTCCTCCTCACCACCCAGAGCCCAGGCTTAGCGTTGGGAAGATGAGGGCTTCATCCATAGCAGGATTTGACACTAAACTATATCCCTGGTCCTTTTAAAATTTTTTGTACTTTGAGACAAGGTTTCACTATGTCGTTAAGGCTGGGCTTGAACGCAGGATGCCCCTCACCTCGGCCTCCCATGGCACTGGGGATATCAGATGCATAAGCGCACTGGGCTCTCTTTTGTTTGGGCAGGGAGTTGTGGGTTGGTTTGTTTGTTTGTTTTTTGCAATGTAGCCCAGGCTGGCCTTGAACTCACAGCCATCCTCCTACCTCAGCCTCCTGAGTGCTGGGATTGCAGGTGTTCATCACCACACCCAGTTAGGGCTGACTTTCAGTAGGACACATTGAAGGAGCTGCTCTGTTCCATGTGAAACCCTGAGTGATTTTATTATGATGTGGAAGAATTCCTGACGTATTAACTTTCTTGCAAAATACCAACTCAATAGCTGGGCATGATGGTGCACGCCTGTGAACCCACACTCAGGAGGCTGAGGCAGGAGGATGGCTGCAAGTTCAAGACTGGCCTGGGATGAATAGTGCACTATATAGCAAGACCCTACCTCAAAAGAAAAAGATAAGACAAAACAAGTATTTTCTCATGAGAAAATTCACTATACTTTAAACTTTTCAAAATATGCCATTTTTAGAAATATAATTTTTCAGATAAATGTAAAAATAAATATATAGAGCTGGGTGTGGTGGTGCACGCCTGCAATCCCAGTGCTCCAGGAACTGACACAGGAGGCTTGCTGAAAGTCCAGGCCAGCCTGGGCTACGTAGTGAATTCAAGGCCATTCTGAACTACAGAGTAAGACCCTGTCTCAAACCAATACAGCTGGGCATGGTGGCACACGCCTGTAATCCCAGCACTCGGGAGGCTGAGGCAGGAGGATCCTTGCGAGTTCAAGACCAGCCTGGGCTACAAAGTAAGCTCAAGGCCAGCCTGAACTGCATAGAGAGACCCTGCCTCAAAAAAGAGACAAAAATAAATAAATAAATAAATAAATAATAAACAGTGGTACAATAATTCTCTTTCTACTACATCTTGGTTTGTTGTTGTTTTTTGTTGATTTTTTTTGGGGGGGTACCAGGGATTGAACTCAGGACCTTGCACTTGCCAGGCAGGTGCCGTACCGCTGAACTGTATCCCCCACCCTACGTCTTGGTTTGTACCCCTGATTATTTCTGTACTATAAATTCCCAGAATTCACTGTGTATTCTAGTCTGGCCTCTTGGGTTAAATACCAGGGGCTAACACCCTTTTCTGTAGGTGGTGACATTACTATGGTATTGGTCCTTTGTTTCTTCCTTATTTTGTTTTTTCTTAATAGTCCTGGGGATAGGACACAGTGCCTGCACATTATTACTTCCCCAGCCCTTTTATTTTTTTAAATTTTGGGACACAGTCTTGCTAAGTTTCCCAGGTTAACCTTGTATTTGCAGTTATCCTGCCTCAGCTTCCTGAAAGCTGGATTGATAGGCAGCTAGCATTCCTGCCTATTTCATTGTTTATAACAGAAATTTTTTTTTTTTTTTTTCCTGGCGCTTTGCTCGTGCTGGGCAAGTGCTCTACTACTGAGATGTACCCCCGGGACCCCTTTTTCTGATTATGTAATGCAGACACACACGTATATAATAGTATACTAAGTGAACAATATTCAGACAATTTAAAGGAAAAAATAACTAAAATTACCCATAAATTGATTGATCACCCCTCTGGGTGTGGTGGTGCGTGCCTGTAATCCCGGGAGGCTGAGACAGGTGCATCGCTGAGTTCGAGGCCAGCCTGGGCTACAGTTAGCGCATTCAAGGCCAGCCTGAACCGCATAGCAAGGCCCTGTACAAATGCAGCGGTACCTCAGTTCACAAACGCTTCTGTTGGCAAACCATTCCATTCCAAACAAAAACGTTGAACAAAATTTTGGTTCCGTTCACAAACTCCACATCAGGCGATAAACACAGCTGTGGCCCTCTTCCCCACACAAACACAAATGCATCGTCCCCCAAATCATAAAACAAATTAAGTTAGTGAACTGAGGCACTACTCATATATATGCATGTATGTTCAACTAGATGCCAGTTCGTAGGCCATCTGCACTCTTACAATTTTAGTGTAACTTTTTTGGACATGGAAAATATTGTCCATGGAAGATATTATACTTGTATATAACTTATATGTTATGTGTACTGTCTTTTGTTTTTGTTTTTTTCCAGTACCTGGAATAGAACTCACAACCTTGCGCCTGCCAGGCAGTCGCTGTGCTGCTGAGCTAAATCCCCAGCCCCTGTACTGTCATATTATATAAAAACACAATTTCCTGCCAGTCGTGGTGATGCACGCCTGTAATCCCGGTGTAAGCCAGCACTCAGGAGGCTGAGGCAGGAGGATCATTGTAAGTTCGAGACCAGACTGGGCTACAAAGTGAGCTGAAGGCCAGCCTGAACTGCTTAGTGAGACCCTGTCTCAAAAAGACCCTCCCCAACAAAAAAATTCCTGGGTTCAATCCCCGGTATTACAAAAAAAAAAAAAATCCCTCTTAGGCTGTAGTTTAGAAATATTTCAAGGGCTGGTAGGGTCGCCCTGTGGTAGAGCAGGTACTCAGTATGTACAGGTCTTAGGTTTGATCACCAGGATTAGAAAGTAAAGTAGTTGGCATGATGGCGCATAACTATAGCTACTCAAGCTGAGGCAGAAAGATTGCAGATTTGAGCCTGGCCTGGCAAGACCTGTCTGACAAAGAAAAACAAAAAGAGCTGGGATGGAGCTCAGTGAGGAGTCCTTGGGGTCATTCTCCGGTAACATACTCACAAAGGAAAGAAGTAGAATACTATACAATATATGCACATTTTTGAGGCTTTAAAAAGATAGCTCCAAGTTGCTTAGCAGAAGTTGTCCCTGTCTGGTTTCTCATATGTTGTGTATGATTGTTTTCTTCTGTCACACTGCTTATTATTTTTTTTTTTCTAACCAGAAAGACACTAAAGTTTGGCTTTTTTTGGTACCGGGAATCGAACTCAGGACCTTGCACTTGCCAGGCAGGCATTTATGCCACTGAGCTATATCCCCGGTCCTAAAGTTCATTTGTTTCTTGAGACAGGATCTCACTGAGCAGTCTCTTGAACTCATTATGTAGCCCAGGCTGGCCTCTAACTCTTGACAGTCCTGCCTGAGCCTCCTGAGTA